CGTGGCCCTGCCGGCCCCCGCCTGCCCGCCCACCTGTGCCCGCAGGCTGCAGCCTGCAGCCACCTGCGGTCCTTGAAGTCCAAGCGAAGTACCTGCTGGTAACCTTCACTTAAAACTAGATGCGGTTTAACACATTTATGTTTTACTAAACGCAAATACTTTCTATAGGGTTTTAGACAGAATGTGCCCAGCGGATTGGTAATAATACTTTATCTTTGTAATCTGACTTAGAAGATCAAACTAAATAATTAAAGATTAATTCACTTTCTCAGAGACTCTGAGAGAAAGGCAATGAAGAGCTTTTTTTTGCTGCAGCTTCTAAGTGAAGTTTGCAAAAAAAATGCTGGGGAAGAGGAAAACCTTGCATTCACTTTATTGGACACATTTGCTGTTCTAAAAATGAAAACTCAAAGCTATTTTTCTTAATTTAGAATCATAGAATCGTTTAGGTTGGAAAAGACCTTTAAGATCATCCAGTCCAACCATTAACCTACACTACCAAGTCCACTCTAAACCAATCAAGGGTAGGCTAGACTAAACCATGTCCCCAAGTGCCACATCTACCCATTTTTTGAACACTTCCAGGGATGGTGACTCCACCACCTCTCTGGGCAGCCTGTTCCAATGCTTGACCACCCTTTCCATGAAGAAATTTTTCCTAATTTCCAACCTAAACCTCCCCTGGCGCAGCTTAAGCCCATTTCCTCTCGTCCTATCGCTAACTACATGGGAGAAGAGACCAACACCCACCTCGCTACAACCTCCTTTCAGGTAGTTGTAGAGAGCGATAAGGTCTCCCCTCAGCCTCCTCTTCTCCAGGCTAAACAACCCCGGTTCCCTCAGCCGCTCCTCATAAGGCCTGTGCTCCAGACCCTTCACCAGCTCCATTGCCCTTCTCTGAACACGCTCCAGCACCTCAATGTCTTTCTTGTATTGAGGGGCCCAAAACTGGACACAGTATTCCAGGTGCAGCCTCACCAGCGCCAAGTACAGGGGGACAATCACGTCCCTGCTCCTGCTGGCCACACTGTTCCTGATACAGGCCAGGATGCTGTTGGCCTTCTTGGCCTCCTGGGCACTGCTGGCTGTACACTTACGCTAGCCGCCTTCAAGAAAGCACAGTGGGGTGAAGCCTGAAGCTTCCAAAAACAGGGGAAAGAGAAAAAAGTTGATACAGTAGTAACTCTTCAGCTCTACTCTAAATATGGTCACAACATACCTCTCCTAAAGGCTTGACTGCATTTGGGAGAGTGGGCAGCAGTTTCACCCTGTGGGTGGGAGGTAAGCTGGCAGGGAGGAAATAAGAACAGCAGATCATGAATGGCTCCAAATATTTCTCCTGGAAATATTTTGTTATATGTTGTGTAATGAAAGACACACATCAGCTGTTACTATGGTTATGCCATCAGCCATTAATGCAATTAAGGTAGGAGCAGGGTTTCTGACTAAACAAAATCATCCATCTTATGTAACTGCAGAATTAAGACAATGAGCATAAGTAGCTACACTACCTTACAGAATTAGGGGATATGGATTTTTTTCTGCGCTACATAATTTCTGTTTCCAAGAAGAACACAAAGAAAAAAGATGTACTGTGTCTCATCTAACTGCAACTTAGAGATTGGATGTTGAGTCAGAGCCTCATCAGAGCTAAAATAATTCAGGTCGTCTTGAAAAGGACATTAAAGGACAAAGCTTGAGTTTAAACCAGTGAAGAATGGGGTTGGGGGCGGCACAGCTCTGTGCTGGGTGAATAGCTGGGGTTGCCTGGATGTTCCTCTCTAAGGACCAACATTACGTTATTTTTTGAACTCTGTCAGTGACTGCTTTTTATAATTAGATTATTCCTTTCCATGTATAGTCTATTGACGAAGGGCAGTAATAAGATTGAGCTGGTGTGATTCAAGCGCTGTCTAGCTTAACCTTAGACAGAAGCCCAAAGGGAGGCAGGCTGACTGAAACACGGCTGAGGGATTTCTATGCTTAAACACAAAAGAATGTTGCCATTGATATTAAACACAACCAATTTCTATAGCAGAGACAGGCCTGGAGACATGTGCACCAGCAGCATGTGCTGGCTGTCAGCCCCTCTGAAACTGCTTCCCCTGCACCTCCCTCGCTCTGACCCACGTGTCCCTGGATGGAGCCTAGCAATCAGGTTTCTCTATTAATAAACAAAAGGCAGAACTACAAATAAGAGTAAACCATTTCTGCTCTGCATGAGTGGCCATATCCCTGATGCAGTTTGAAGCATTGGCTTCAGCTGTTACCTATGACTTCTCTCCTGAAAGTCTTTGTAACTTGCGTGCAGACTGTCACCACTACAGATATATTACCTATGCGTAAGTTTCCACAGTAATAATTGTTCTCTCATTAAAGAAAACAGCAGTACCAGTAGTTATTTTCTATTTCCAGTTGAATCACGCCAAACAATTCTGTATTTCAGCCCTGCTTGGTTTCTGTCTGAATGGCTTGACAATTGTTTCTTTCCGAAAAATCAAAGAACTCCGAACACCCAGCAATCTGCTGGTTCTCAGCATTGCACTGGCCGACTGCGGGATCTGCATCAACGCATTCATCGCTGCCTTTTCCAGCTTCCTAAGGTAGATCTTCTTTTTCCTAAAAGATGCTCAAAAGAACCACATGAAAATTAACAGCTTAAGTTCTAAGAGGTCAAATTAATTAAATGACTCTCTTTCTAGCATACCACCTAAACAACCTTCTCAGTCTCTCAATCTGAAACAGCAAAATGAATGGTATAGTTCTACCAGACAAGTAAAAAAGCAGACTTTACTGTATATAATCACTGACAGATTATAAGACTGCTTACAGAAGACATTTAACCAGACAGCTTTACCAGTGGTTAAGCTAGTTGAACATCAAAATAGTAGTATGTTTTCATTTGACTAAACCTCTAGACTGACCCCAAATTTATCTGCAAGTCTTTCTGGTTTTTTATGAACCTTTCCATTAAAGCACCTATTTGAGAAGTTTGTGGAAAATGCAGATCTATTAGCAGGGAGTTCACATCAGTTATGACACATTTCATTTTCCACATTTTCACACATCAATCATTTAGTCAGAGGACAGAAACAGTATCAAGCATTTCAGTGAATAATTACAACAAACAAATCACAAGCAAACCATACTCAAAAAAACCCCCACCACACTATAAAATATCTGATGAATAATTCTACCTCATTAGCATATTTTTAAACCCTTGAAATACCTTTAATAGAGAACAGCCAGAATATGACCATTTTATTCTCTCTTAGTGGATATAAAAACATTTTTGCAAATTAACACGTCAATAATAAGCTCCAATGAGGCCTTATTCAACACTATTTTACCTCCTGTATAGGTCACTCTTGTTTCAGACATTTATGTCTCACTGAAGTCAATACAGATGCCTTTACTGAACTGGAGCTGAGAAGCTGAGGTCAATACATCAAAATGAGCTTGGTTTTAACAATTGCAGGACCTTTTCTTTTAAATGGGAGCAGAAGTTTCCCAGCCTCCCAAGAAGTCAGCTATCTCCTGTTCACAGGGACTTCCAGGGTGTCTCCTAATGCATTATACTGGTGTCCTGTAAATACATGAGAAAGGAGATTGCTGAAGATTTCCACGTCACAGCCAGCTTTATGAGCCTAAGAGTCAGGTTAGATGAACACAGAAAGAAAAAAAAAGACCTAGCTCCTTGCCGTGTAGCTCTGCTACGTGAGACTATCTCATGGTTCTTTTCATTCTGTCTGCAAAGACATTTGGTGGCCTTGGTCTTGCTATCAGGAGTATTTTTATTTGTTGTGAGCTTTTGTACTGTGTTGCATGGTGAACACTGACTTTCCAAAAGGTCATTACTCATTTGCTACTTTCACACATTGATAAATTGGCTGCTCCCAGTGGGTGCAAATTCTGAAGATATGGATAATTGGATGAAATGTAGATTTCAAGTTAAAAAACCAACTTTCCAATACATAAATGCAGGGTTATGTTTTCTTCTCCATATTAAGAGTAAAAATAGCTGGTTTACTATATCAGACACCACAGCAAGATAAATACTGGCAAATACCTAAAGGCAACTACAGTGACAGCATTCACAATGTTTCAAAGACTTAGAAAGCACATGCACAGGCTATCATTTTACCCTCTCTGTTAATGCAATTTCCAAACATGTCTTCACCTTTTCCTATAATTTTCTTAACATATTCCTTGTTTGTTGACAGATACTGGCCCTATGGCTCTGATGGCTGTCAAATCCATGGATTCCAGGGCTTCTTGACAGCACTAGCCAGCATTAGCTCCAGCGCTGCGGTCGCCTGGGACCGGTATCATCACTACTGTACAAGTAAGGGCTACAATTTACCTAGCAACCTTACCCAGATCCTGCTATATGGCAGCTTGCTTAGTTTTCAGAGAATCAAAGCAAGCACATATTTATTATCTGCACATCTTACATGTAAGTTTTTTTACCTTGCACACTAGAGATAGAGCAAATATAAAAAAACTCTCCAAAGGACCTCTTCCCATACAGGGAGTACTAACCAGCCACCCTCAGGAGATATTTTCTCTTCCAGATGACATCCAAGTCCTGACCCTCTTGCCATGCTTCCACCTTCTCCATAAGTAATATTCAGTGTCCCAAACAAAATTCAACTCCTCATATTGAAGAAAAAATCTATGCACCTTGGGCTTCCATCCAACATCCTGCTGTGTACCAAATAGATCTTCATGCCCATGCAGAGTTTACTAATTACAGATAAATTTCACGTAGCTAGAGAGCTGCCTCTACAGATACAGCAGCTGGAACAGAGCCCACAGCAAAGCACTTCTGCAGAGGTACTCGGGCAGACAGAGCTCAGCCGCCCAGTTGTGCAACACACAGGCGCTTTGGGGCACAAGAGCCATTTGTCGGGCTTGTGCTACGTTGCAGGCCCCCTTATGAAGACTGGAACTCAGCACACTTCTTCCCAAGCAAGGAACAAATTATCCACAAGTTTCAAAAAAAGCGGCAGAGCTATTTTTAAGTACTGATAAGAGGAGGAATAGGTTATTTTTCTTCTCTTAGAGAAGGCCATTTTTTGTTTTTTTCTTGCAATTTAGTTTTTAACTAGCTCTGACACCTTAGCTGGATTTAATGAAAATCTAATATTAGACAGGGATATCAACCCAGGAAAATAAATTTGATTTTTTGTGGACTTATGAAAGCATATTGTTGATTTAGGTGAGAAATAGACATTGACAGGATTGTCAAATATATGGATTTCTAGAATAGATATGCGCTGGTTTTTATCACAGAACTACCTCCCAAACTTTGGCAGTACTGGATTCATGCATTCATGTAACATGAGTGGAAATTCCTG